TACCACCATTTCCAATTCTATCTGAAGACGTTAGAGCCATGGCTAGGCATTGCACGTTGGGCATTGAGCCACGAATTTCTTCAGAGAGGATCATTCTTCTGGATACTCAGGTGTGTTCCTAGTGAATATATACTTTGCCATTTATGTTTTAGGATAACTGGATCAGGTATTTGGATAGATAAATACATTATTTCCCACTTGATTTTTAAGTTTTCCAACTTTTCAAAGAGAATACTATGATCTAAATAGTCACAATTATATCCTATCAGCCTATGATTTTTGCATTTTCAATTTCCTTGACAAAGATTTGAAATGAAGCTAATTCCAGAACAAAAAGTGGGTGATTGATGCACTTTGAGAAGTGAGATTCTCTTTTTTTCTGTAAGAGTCATTTCAAGCTGCCAAGATTGGATTATGGTCCGAGATAAGTCCTTGCACGCATAGTGACATAACACAAACATACTTTCAAGCAACGGATGTTTGTGCTGGGGTTTTTTTTTTTTTGGGCTAAATCGTAGAAAATACCCCTATACTTTGAGTTTTGTTTCAATAATACCCCTAAACTTTAAAATGTTCCAAAAATACCCCTAGTCTTTCAAAACATATTCTAGTAATAGTATTTTTTAAAGGTCAAAGGTATTATTGAAACAAAATTTCAATGTTTTCTATCCAAAACTTAACTACAAGGGTTTTTTTGAACATTTTTTTATAGGCCGGGGATAATGTTAAAACTTTTGAAAACCAAGTTGTATTATTGAAACAAAATTGTAACACTTTTGTTAATGTTGATGAAAGCTAGTTTTCTCATAAAAGAGGGGGAAAGCAGAAATCCTCTTTGATGGATACTCGCTTTGTCTCGCTAGTTTGAATAAAAATAAATAAATAAATCATAAAACTAAACTGAAGTGACTGAAGTGAAGGAACAATATTCTTTTATGGGTTTTACTTTTTATTTCTGTTTCTTGAGTGACCGGCTAATGGTGATGATGCATAAATCTTCTGAATTCTTGTGATGTGAGATTTGTATTAGTCTTATATTTTATTTGTTACTTACAGTTTTGCATGATAATTTGATAATTGCAGCCTGTGTTCAGTCCTTCTGTTTTAGCTGAAATTATGAGACCAGATGGTTCATCCACCATCTCAGTTATTAGTGGCGAATCTCTATCTGCTGAATTGGCTCATGAACTTATGAGTATTCAGGTAACACTAAAGAGAGCCTTCTTTTGTCTGTTTTGGAGGGGTTGGGGGAATGGGTAGCAGTCTGAAGAGCTTTAGAGTTTGACCACATGATTACACTAACAATGCTATTATGGTGTGGAATTATTTATCCATTGTAGTTATGATCTTACAAATTTCTTCCCGTTACTCTGCAAGGATTCCTTTAGCTGGGCATTCTTCTAGCGTCCATTTGCAATATTGTCCTTGTGATATCGGAGGGAGCTCACGATCTAAATATGTGGCGTTTGATGTTAACTGTAAGTAGTAGGAACCTTTATCTTGATCATCTGTTCTTAACCATGTCATGTCATGAAGCTTCGTTTTTTTCGTTGCTCTATCATAACACTTATTTCTTTTTTGCAGGTTGACTTGCTTAAACATGGCTTGCCCGATCCATCTTCTTCTGTTTTCTCTCATACACAAAATTCTAATGTAGGATCCGAGAAGGAACACAAAGATAAAGTTTCTGCAAGTGAAGAATATATGGCTACTCCAATCTTTGTTCATGCAAAGTGAGTGAAAACCTTCTAAGATTTTTTTACATCTTTTCAACAAGGTCGCCTCTAAACTTAGAAACCATTAACAATAACAAGGAAGAACATCCTTCAAGGCACAAGCTAGTAGGCGAAGCAGCATAGACTATATTTCACATCCATACCCCACGAAACCATGAAATCCTTGCTGTTTAAAAAATCTTGATCTCCTAAACCTTACTCCTAAAACGCTCTTAGTCCTCTCCAGCCTCAAAATTTAAAGAGTTTAATTGTAACAGCCCAAGCCCAAACCCACTGTTAGTAGATATTGTCCTCTTTAGGCTTTTCGTTTTGGGCTTCCCCTCCAGGTTTTTAAACTCGTGTGCTAGGGAGAGGTTTCCACACCTTTATAAAGAAGGTTTCGTTCTCCTCCCCAACCGATGTGGGATCTCACAATCCACCCCCTTCAGTGCCCAGCGTCCTTGCTGGCACACCACCTCGTGTCCACCCTCCNCCCCCCTCCCCCCCCCCCTCGTGGCTCAGTTTCCTCGCTGGCACATCACCTGGTGTCTAACTCTGATACCATTTCTAACCACCCAAGCCCACTGCTACTAGATATTGTCCTCTTTGGGCTTTCCCTCAAGGTTTTTAAAACGCGTTTGTTAGGGAGAGGTTTTTGAACTTTTATAAAGAATGTTTCGTTTTCTTCCCCAACCGATGTGAGATCTCACACTGATAAACTATAAATTATCAGGAGATAATAGTTTTAGAGTAACAGAAGAATTAGCTTAGAAGTTAGAAATAAAATCTGCAAAGAATTGCACACCTTCCGAACCCAAAATTTCCAATCCCTATTAGAACAGTTCTTAAACCTTTAACATTTTGCTCAAGGAATATGGTAATAACTGATTGGTACTCTGTTTCTTTGTGTAAATCATGAGCAGAGTGGAGGATCCAGATCTTGTTCCACACAACATCTTGCAACTAAAGAGAGCATTTGCACAATTTTTTAAAACCTCCTCATTTATGGGAGACAAGGTCCAAAGTGAGCAACTACTTTCCTCTGTGGTTCCAGATACCAGAAATTTAGATGTAGATGGTGAAGATCGAAGGTTGCTTTTCATCCCAAATCGAAACAAGGATGACTCGACAAGAGGCCAATATGAAAGTTTTAACTTAGCTTTGTGGAAGCTGAGGGATCAGGTACTTGGTTCACTTTTACCTTGTTATTTTTTCATCTACTCTTTGTATTGGTTTAAAATTAACTCATTGAGCATTAGCTCAACTTGTAAAGGCATTGTACCTTCGACAAAAAGGTTGGAGGTTCAAATCCGTACCCCTACTCGTTGAACTAAAAAAACTTTTGCACTTAATTTTTGAGTTCCTAAACTTTCAAATATTCTTATCGAATCTTTTTATTTTGCCTTACAAATCTATTTTAATCATTACTATGTGGACATGTGTTTGATAGGTTATACTTTAGCTGTTGGGTTTTCAAACGAATAAGTTTTTTATTAAATGATTAATTAAGGATTAACGATAAGAACTAATATAGAGCTTAAGGTTTGTTGTTTAAAGACTAAGATAAAGTTTAAGTTTTAGGACTAAAATGAAGTATGAAAGAACAAAGACTAAATTAATGGTTGAAACTTTTTGTATATATGTAAAATTTTCTAACTAATTAATCTCCTTTACCTTCAGGTTCTATCCATGAATGGTACGTCGTTTTCGAGGACTGTTTCAGAACGTGATTGGTTAAAAAACTCGGTGAAGATATGGGAATTGGTGAAGAGCTCTCCCATTGTAATGGAGTATGCTAGAACGCTTCAATCTTCAGGTATGTTCAGGAGATAGTTGGATGATATGGTTCTGTTCTGTTTGTAAAGGAAACACAAAAGCATGGTTAGTTTGCATAGCCTTTAGTATTAGGCTGCCTTTAGTATTAGGCTTCATCAGTAATTCTCCGTTCTACTGAGCTGATCTCTGCTGTTCCACTTCAGCCATCATACATGGTATAGATTTTTCTTTTTTGTTAGACAGATCGATTCGTTTGGCGATAATTTCAACCGTCCCATTTATAAATGTATGGAAGATTATCAAATCGTATTATTCATTCTAGAACGTGGGAACGATGTCAATAGAATGAACTTCTCCATCACCGCCAAGTACCCATAAATGTAGTTGTTTAGGGTCTGGTTGGTATGCAATATTGATTCTATATTATGTTTTCATACATCTACTGAGCCAAAGAGATTCGTTGGTTATCTGTTTTTAAACATTGTTTTTGACTTCATCGAAATTAGCCTGCTTGCGCCTTGGTTGGAGGGTATTTGCAACAACGTTGAGACACTCTCGATAGCGTCGTAGTGCCACAACACTGTCTCTTAGGGGCCCGAAGGTTGGCTCCACAACACTCAACACAATGTTACAACCGTAGTGTATGAATGGAAGCAATATGAGTAGCTGCAAAAAATATTCTTATGATGTGCAAATAGTAGAGGTTTACCATCAAGTTAGCCACCTTGCTATAACCAAGAAAATTTGGTTCAAAGATTAAAATCGCATGGTTAGTTTGCATAGCCTTTAGTATTAGGCTGCCTTTAGTATTAGGCTTCATCAGTAATTCTCCGTTCTACTGAGCTGATCTCTGCTGTTCCACTTCAGCCATCATACATGGTATAGATTTTTCTTTTTTGTTAGACAGATCGATTCGTTTGGCGATAATTTCAACCGTCCCATTTATAAATGTATGGAAGATTATCAAATCGTATTATTCATTCTAGAACGTGGGAACGATGTCAATAGAATGAACTTCTCCATCACCGCCAAGTACCCATAAATGTAGTTGTTTAGGGTCTGGTTGGTATGCAATATTGATTCTATATTATGTTTTCATACATCTACTGAGCCAAAGAGATTCGTTGGTTATCTGTTTTTAAACATTGTTTTTGACTTCATCGAAATTAGCCTGCTTGCGCCTTGGTTGGAGGGTATTTGCAACAACGTTGAGACACTCTCGATAGCGTCGTAGTGCCACAACACTGTCTCTTAGGGGCCCGAAGGTTGGCTCCACAACACTCAACACAATGTTACAACCGTAGTGTATGAATGGAAGCAATATGAGTAGCTGCAAAAAATATTCTTATGATGTGCAAATAGTAGAGGTTTACCATCAAGTTAGCCACCTTGCTATAACCAAGAAAATTTGGTTCAAAGATTAAAATCGCAAGTTGTTTAAAAGTTGGGTAATAATAATAACAATATATTGGAGCTGTTTGGAGAGTTTTGAGGTTTGCTCATGATTTCAATTGGAGCTGTAATCTTAGCTTCAAGCATTTAGTCATGGGCTTCTCATTCAATGCAATCTACATCTTTATCTTTTTTAGAACATTTTCTTGCAAAGCTACGAACATTTGCAGCGCAATAGCCATTAAAACGAGCCAATATGATTTTACAATAGAACTAGAGGCATTCAAAACTATAAAAAAAAAAAAAAAAAAAAAAAAAAAAAAAGAAACGTTCTGTCACCTACTTTACTCTACCATAGCATCGCCTGATGCTGTAGAACCCGAACTGGAAGAAGATTTTCCCTTGTTCTTCTTGCCTTAACATTCAAAAAAGATGAAAAATTAATAGGGGATTAGTACAAAATAAGACATTGGAGAAGAAACAGTAAACAGTCAACACTTGCCTTTGCTGCTCCTTAATTGCCTAAGCCGGACACTCTTCTTCACATGGAACTTGGTCGATGTTCGATTGGTGTTTTTAAGTTCTATTATCAGTGCAGAAACAAAAGAAAATTATCATTTAGAGTAAAGCAGGCACAAGTGAAAACTAGTTCAATCAAGTTGTATGACCAATTCATGAGCCATACACCAAATTGGTGTTCTCATTCGTTTTTCATTTTTTTCATACGACAGGTTTTCTCGAAAATGAGAAAAATGGGTAAAAGGGGGGGCTGGAGAACGCGAGTATTATTCGAGCACAAAACATAACAGTACCAATTGTCTATTCTGTTGCTTTCTTCCCCAGATGAATGGGATCCAGCCAAAAATGTTAATATTGTGAATCACCCAAATGATTCTCAATTATTTTTCACAAGAAACACAAGCATTTTGTAACAAGTGGGAAATATGCCGTAAGTGGGTTCAAAATGTGAAAGGTGCAAAGAAGCTATTGAATCCAAAGATACTATGCACAAAACACGTGCATACAGATATAGATACCCCAAGGACTACTGGAAGAACAAGACATTGCACGATAGAATCACATTTTACAAGTTTTAGCTCTAAAGTTAGTATGAGAGGTGAAGAAACGTCCTGTAAAGATGAGAAGCATAGTCCAAAATGGGGAAGGAGATTCCCTATTGTTATAGCTCTCCCATCCAATATGAAGGACCTTCCCATCCAATATTCTCTGGCTTTAATTCATTTGAGCTTTAGTTCGGAATCTTTGGCTAGAAACAAGTATAACAGAACATTTCACAGCATTGAGAAGACTTTTTTAACACTTTTCTTGATTAACTTGTCTTTTGCACCTCACACAAGTGTAAATTATACATCCAATTCACCAAGTTTAGTTTAAATAATCCATATGCCAATTGAAAGAATTCTTAGCAATCTTCCATGGCTCAGGCTTCGCTTCAATCCTTTTACTTTATTAACAAAAATCACAGTGCCTATACTTCTATCTTATTACTGTAAACTCTATTTCTTTGTGCCCCTTAACCCTATCACAAACATGATTGTCATTAACAGACCGGCCTACGCTTGCACTAACACAATTTCTAAAGTAGCTTCATGGTGAAAACTAACTTAATGCTCACAAACGAAAACATTTTCGAAATAGTTCTCCTAGAGCCCTTCAACAAGTTGAAATTAGGGGGGGGAAACCACAGGAAGTTGAAAATTGAAGGAACAGTTCAAATACGAAAATAGCAATAGCATATGAAAGAATTACCTTCAGCAACAGCCATTTCAACATCTTCCATGTTCGTCAGCCCCATCTGTAAAGCTTCCTTCTCTTCCTGCAATTAGCAAGAATCGAACAAGAATCGAACAAAAAGCGAACAATCAATCCGCATCACAGATACTTTCAATTGAAATACATAGCACAAAACAAACGCAGGCACATAGAATCCATACTCTGCGTTTTTTCTTCATCAACTTGCGCTTACGCTTACTGGAAACATAAGTAGGCTGTTGCTTGATCTTTAGCTTCTTCGTCAAGGGATCACCATGGGCGTCCCTCTTCGTCTGAGCTTTATGAGCTCGTCTCTGCTTCTGAACCACATTGAACTTCGCCATCGTCTTCAACTTCCGGATTCGTTTCACCACTGAAACCCTAAATTTGAGGTATTTATCCCAAATTAGGGTTTTTTTATTTTCTACGAAATGCCCGATTTATTAATTTTTACCTTAAATTTTTAATTTCATATTAAAATTTTCACTAATTCTTCTATTAATTTTAATTATATTAACTTGGAGCATTCATATAATCCGAAAACTCGACCAACCTGAACTACCCAACTCAAACTATAAACGTTGGGTTGGGTTAGACTTTTTTCAGTCTGGGTCGGGTTGAACTTTTTGTTCAGGTTACAAATTGACATTTTTTTGTCGGGTCAACCTGACTAACCCGAAAATAATTTTACAATTCAACCCACCTTCGGAAATATCCAACTCAACCTTCGAAAATAGTATTCGTATAACTCGAGAGCTCGACCAACCTGAACTACCCAACTCAAACTATAAAGGTTGGATTGGGTTAGACTTTTTTCAGTTTGGGTCGGGTTGAACTTTTTATTCAGGTTAGATTGCAAATTGATGTTTTTTTTGTCGGGTCAACCTGACTAACCCGAAAATAGTTGTACAATTCAACTCAACCCTCGGAAATAAGGTTACAATCCAATTAAGAATATTTCACATTTGTCACAGTGATGGGTCGTGTCCTCGTGAATATTTGATATTTTAATTTTATAAAATTTAGTTATTAATGTACCATGTATTATAAATTGTTTTTTCAAAATAATTAAAAAAAAAATAACCCGATAACTCAATTCATCTCGAAAAAATGTATTATTATTATTATTTTGTACAAATGGTTGGCGTTTTATAGCGAAACGTGTGCCATTTATTTACCAATTGTGCCATTATACTTTTCAAGTACGGTGTACGGTCCATCTTTTAACATCACACATTAATTATTTAATTAAAACAATTTTGAAAAAAATGTGGTTACGTGTTATGACCTCCAACTATTATTCCATTTTAATTTTCACATTGACATAAACTTCCAAGTCTAGGGTTCGAGCATGATAGCTACTCAATATTAATTATTACTTTATTTTATATCAAAATCCCTAACATTCTATATTAAATCTCTCGACCGTTCTTCAACTCGTTTGAGTTTAACCCTTCAAATTAAATAGCGTTTTTTTTCGTTTACGTGGGTAACAAATAAAACGACAATTATAGTTGAGCTATTTTATGGGCATAATAGTCATTACGTGGTTTGATTACGAGCCATGACTGCTGCTCATATAGTGGTGTGACATGCTTACGTTATTAGTCTAAGGAGATCACGGGAAACCCATGTATAACGTGGTTATGGTCCCCTATACAGTGTACGGATTTAGTCTAAGTTGAGTAGTCGAGGAAGACTGCAAGCCACGTAAATTCCCTGTTGCTTATAAATCCAAGTATTTCTAATCTACTAACACCGTAGTCTTGCAAGTGCTCGATCCATTCACAACTCTCTTTCGAAGATTCTTTCACCATATTTGACCTATTCACACTAGACCTCACATCGGTTGGAAAGAGAAACGAAACATTTCTTATAAAGGTGTGAAAAATTCTCCCTAACAGAAGCGTTTTAAAACCATGAGGCTGACGACGATACGTAATGAGCCAAAACGGATAATATCTGCTAGCGGTGGACTTGTAAATGACTACCGGGAGCTAATTAACTTAAAATTATTGCAAAATGGAAAGATCGGCCCCAAAGATATTTTCACGATACAAATATTCTCTTAAATATAATAAATATTTAAAAATATGATTCGAAGGAGTGATGACGTGTCCACTTGAGCAATTTCTTTGAAACAACTAACCCTCTTGAAAATTGAAACGGTCGAATTATTGGACTTTATTTTTTCTTCTGATTCCTTAGTCTATTTTATATTAAACAAAAACCTTATCAGATATTGATTGCATCAAAGTCAACATACTTTATAATATATAATATAAAAGTATGCATAAAATATTAAAAGCGTTACACATATAATATGAAAGTATGCATAAAATAGTAAAAGCGTTATTCATGTTCGAGAAAATTTCAAAAATATAGTTGTAACTATTACAGATGAACGAGATCAAGTAATGTCCGAGCTCTCTGCTCGTATTTGTGGATTCAAAGGACAAGAAGAGGGACACCATTTTTCGACTCGAACTATAGTAGGAAACGTGTGAGATCCTCAGTTGGAGAGAGAAACGAAACATTTTTTTTATGGGCGTGTAAATCTCTCCACCCGTCTTAAAATTTTTGAAGGGAAGCCCGAAAGGAAAAATCCAAAGAGGACAATATCTATTATCGGTAGGGTTGAGCTGTCACAAAATGTTATTTGGGCAGTAGTGGATTGAGGTATGCGATGAGTAGGATTCACGATAAAAAGCCCCGAGTCGCAAAAGAGATACATGGGTAAGAGCTATTCATGGTTTCGAATATAGGGGGTCGGGTAATTTCTTGGTTCTCCGCTCATACGTGCGGATTCAAAGGTCTAAGAATTGGGACGTCATTTTGTCCTTTAAAAGTGCTATTCGAGCAGTAGTGGATCAGGGTGTACATCGAGTAAAAGTCATGATAAAGAGCCCTAGTCTCGGAAAGAGCTATTCGTATAAGCAGTATACTTTTAAGTGTCGTATGGGAGATAACCCTATGCCATGTAATGACGGTAGGCTCCTAAAAAATTGACGGGTGTAAAAATAGAGATTATATTCTTAATTTTTAATTTTTTAATTTTAAGTTATTGTATTAAAAGAAATTATATATAAATTAAAATGGTTACTTTAGATTGTAGTAAGCAAGGAATAATATAAAAGGAAATTGTAGGAAATAAAGGCCTAAAAGAATAAAAATAATATAAATGGTATCCACGTTCACGTTTCCAAATCATAAAAACTCCCACAAAATCCCTCCATATCCCCACTCCCATTCCTCAACGACTGTTCCTTCTCTCTCTCGCTAATGGCGTGCTGCTGAAATTCAAATCCCCTCGCCGTCCACCATCCTCCTCTTTTGACCTCACACTAATCGCTTTCTAATCTCCACTTTTCTCGGAGAAATTTCATCCTGATTTCTCAACTCTGTATATATATCAATCTCTACTTGTTTCTTGTTGTTTAATCGATTTTGTACTTGTTCTTCTTTTGATTACACGCTGTAATAATCTCTATATGTTGCTGATTCTTAATCGACTGATTAGATTGTACCTGTGATTTTGATTTTCCCTCTTTTTCTGAGATTTTCGGATGAATCTTTACTTCTGGAGCAATTTTGACGAATATGTCGAACATTCCGACTTCGCTTTCTGAAATCTGCCTCAGTTTCTTTCGTCTTACCATGTCCACCGCCGATCCTTGGCCATTTTCCTAATCTCCACCACTGTTAATCGATTTTAGGTTTTTTTTTTCCCGTTTTTTTCTCTGATTTCGTCCTTTTTTTTCGCCGCGATGAGACGAATCAGAGGATTCAAACTCGGCAAGCACATCCGGCGGATTTCGAACTGGTTTCTCCGGAGACGACGGCGGAGTCGGACTGGATACTCACTGTTGAGATCCGGACGGTCTGTTAAGCCGATTTCCAGCCTGTTAAGCTGGGGAAGGCGATTGGCGAACGGAGCGAAATCTATCTGTTTAAGTAGGAGGAGATTGAGTTACGTACCGTTAGATCGCGATTCGGAGGAGAAATCCGCGGCGGTTCCGAAAGGTCACTTGGCCGTCTACGTCGGCCAGAACGACGGCGATTTTCATCGAGTTCTAGTGCCAGTGATCTACTTCAATCATCCTCTGTTTGGCGAGCTTCTGAGAGAGGCGGAAAAGGAGTACGGATTTCATCATCAAGGCGGAATCACCATTCCTTGTCCGTACTCCGAGTTCGAGAATGTTCAGTCGAAAATCAAGTCCGGTTCCAGTTGCCGGGAACCGCCATGGAAGAAGCTAGGTTGTTATGGACGTTAATTTGCTCCGCCGACGACGACGGTGAAGATTCCAAATTCTCGAGGATAGCGACGCTTAGACTTTACCATAATTTATTAGGTAGAATTTTAATTTTTCCTAATTTTTTTTTTCCTTTAATAAATTGTGGTGGAGTTTATTCCTTGGGCTATTTCTGTACAAACCATTACATTTTAGGTAAAATTACATTTTAGTCCCTATAATAATACTTTTTAGCAATTTAGTCCTTACAAGGTAACTAAGTACAATTTAGTCCTTTCCACCCTAATTTTACTTTACACTAAGTTAACAAAAAAATCGAAAAATAATAAAATTTTGAAAAGAAAATCTTATATAAAAATATAGGGACTAAAATGTAATTTTGTTTAGGTTTTAAATGGAAATTAGGTTGTTACTCACGAAATAAAAAATATAAAATTAGGGAAATAAAATATGTGTTTTTTCAAAAACAAATATACGGTCATCTGAAATTGAATATTAGAATTAAAATAATATAAATAAAGGCTAAAAATATATTAAATGACAATAAATAAAAAGTATTAAATAAAATATTATATAAATCAATAATAAAATAAAATGGACGTGGTTGCCCTCTCACACCCGTTTTTTCACGTATTAAATTAAATTAAATTAATTAATAAATAGTGATAGCCAACTAACAAAACTCAATTAATTTAAAATAACATTAAGTTCAAATCTTTCTCTATCATATTTAAATATCTTTGTAGAGGAAATTTATTTTATTTTATACTAAATAAACAAATATATTTCAAAACATACATAATAAAAAAAAAAATCCAAATGGAAATATAAATATATTTTTTTATAAACAAATTTTAAATTTTAAATAATCATTAACCATTCAATTCTTTTTAATTTTTTTTTTATATATTCAATTCTTTAATAAATAAATAAATTAAATTCTACCTCTAATAAAATCCTAAACTTTCGACTTTTGGTAGGTTAGTAAATTTTATGTGATGATATATGATTTAGATATATAATTTGGTATGTTATCTGTCTCGTCCTTATTTAATAGGTCTTCAAAATTTTTAACCTTACCTACCAAAAATCGAAAGTTTAGGATTCTATTAGACGTAAAATTTATTTTTTTTAAATATATCA